ATGGTAAACATGCCTACCTTGCCATTGATAGTTGAGTGCTGCCACCCGGCCCCTGCAACCCTGGGATCCAATTATTTCCATTGCATTTATGTTTCTCAATTCATTGGTTGCAGTTCTCACTGTAAGGCCTGGCATACAGAGAGGAGCAAATATGGAGCTCTTTAAGGATGCCAGGGCTCCCCTCAAAAATTTATTTCTCACAGTATTGGTGAAAGGTATGTTTTCTGGACCCTCCCAGTGTGGGTAAGTAGGTCTTAAATGACAAATCCACTCTAACATTGTAATCTCCCTAAGCATTTAAATCCCTTCTTCCGTATTAAACCAAGGCAGGTCTGACATTTCCAGTTCACTGACTGAGGGCCATCTTTTGGTTCATGTTTCAGCCAATTAAGCAAACAAACTCTTAGAGCTCTTTCTGATTCCCCAAGCTGTAACATTAAATGGAGAATTTCTGTTTAGTGAGCCCATATCGATAAATTTGGCCTGATCCAACTTTATGTTCTTTCTATACCCATAGTATCCATTCACATACATGTCTCCTGGGTTTCTCTCTGTATAAATTAGAAAACTGAAGTAGTTCTTTTGGAGTGTAATGCATCACCACAGGAGTCATACTTTGTACCTTACCAATAGGGGCCTGCTGGGACTTCAGTCTATTTATAGGTCTAGAAGCAAAGAGGGGTCGTGAGGGTGGGTTCTGAGGAGAATCATCATTGTCCTTCATGGCAGCTGCCTCAGGGAAGGCTGTAACAGTTTTTTCAAGTAATGCAGACTTAATCCCCTCAAAGGGAGGTGCAAAGGCCAATGCTATTGGTGGTAGGGTGGGTGCTACCCCTGGAGGAAGGAAGGCCACTTCTGGGGGTGGCAAGGCCACTTCCACCAGTGGTGGGGAGACCTCTTCCACTGGCAAAGACAACTCATCAGAATTTAGGGACTCAGTGTTACCAGCTCTGTCAGGGTCTTCTCACACATATCCATCCCAGCTAACAGGATTCCATCTTTCCCAATCAATGCCTTTACTTTAGCAGTGAATTATACTGGTAACTTGAATCCTTGAATTCATTTTTTTCACCACTTTGTCATAGTGACATTAGAAGGAACCAGCCAACCTCATATTGGTTAGTTTTGCAAAAATGTTTGAAAGTATTGTACCATATACACACTCACCCCACTTTTTATAAGTGGTTGATTAAGAGTATTTTATGAAGATATTTTACGTATCTATTATTAGTTAATGCTATGGACTATCAGTGCTCTCTCCTGGAAATACAGTCATTAGCATCTTTAAATGTAATCAGGTTAACTGAGTCAGTTTCAGAAATTCTGTTCCTCTAGGACCATTCCTGATAACCAAAATCTACATGAGTCAGTTCTACAGAGAAATAGAACCAATAGGAGATACATCTATCTATCTATCTACCTATCTATCTATCTATCTATCTGTCTGTCTGTCTGTCTGTCTGTCTATCTATCTATCTATCTATCTATCTATCTATCTATCTATCTATCTATCTATCTAACTATCTATCTATCTATCTAATCATCTATCTAGAATGAAATTTACTGTATGGAATTGGCTCACACAATTGTAGAAGCTGTGAAGTCCCATGATCTGTTGTCAGTAAACTGGAAACCCAGGAAAACTGATGGTGTAAATTTCAGTCTGAGTCTGAAGGCCTGAGAACCAGGGGCAGTGATGGTATTAGTTCTAGTTCAAGGGTAGAAGACTGGTGTTTCAGCTCCGCAACAAGGAAGGTAGGGAAAATTTTTTCCTTCTTCACAGTTTTGTTCTATTCAGGCCCTCAAGGGATTGAATAATGTTCACCCATATTGGGGAGGTCATTCTGCTGTACTAAATCTACCAATTCAAATGCTAATCTCATCCAGAAACATCCCCACAGACACACCTAGAAATAATGTTTAGCCAAATATCTGGTGTGTCCTGGTCAAATTGACACACATAAAATTAAACATCACAGTATAAAATGGATAACATTATTACTTAAAAATTGCAAGCAGATTTTCTTTTAACCTTTGTTGTATAATCCTGAGTTAATTTGCATTTTGACATTGTCTTCATCCGTTCAGGCTGCTATAAAAAAATACTGTAAACTGGGTGACTTATAAACAACAGAAGTTTATTTCTCACAGTTCTGGAGGCTAGTAAATCCAAGATCTAGGCAATGGCAGATTTGGTGTTTGGTGAGGGCTTGCTTTCTGATTCATAGGATTTGTCTTTTCACTGCCTCCTTACATGGTAGATGAGGAGCTCTGGTCTCTTCAGATCCTTCACTAATCCCACATATGAGACCTTACTTATGATCAAATTACCTTCCAAAAATTGCACTTCCTAATACCATCACATTGGGGATTAGGTTTCAACTCATGAATTTTTGGGGACACAAACATTCAGTCCATTGCCGACATTTACAAATGTGAAAATACACATATCTAGGTGAAAATACACATATCCAGGTAAAAATATGCATATCTTAAAAACTGCATTGTGTAAATTGCTATGAAGTATTCATTTTATAAAGTGGCTTTTTGCTTTATATTTTATTTTTGATGATGATGTGTTAACAAGGAAAGCATTGGGTGAGGTAGTGTAAGTGAGAATATGGTACTTACTTGTAATTTAGAATTTGATGTGATGTTTCTTCTAGACATTTTTATCAGAATGTCTGGTAAAACCAAATGCTAATGAATACAGAAATCTCTATGGGATTTTAGTCTAACTGATGTAAATTGATATCCTATTTCATTATTTAGCCATATTTACTGCAAGTTACATATTTTGTGCCATAATTGGTTAAATAACCTGCTAGATTCTCAGGGTTTTTCATTTTAAATTTATGTCTAAATATATGAGAGTGAAGACAGTAGAGTAATGTTTACTTTTCATATTCTGTTTACTAGCATGCATCTGGTTTAGTAGGTCAGAAATGCCAGCTTTGTTCCAGAATAAGTCAGCTTTCTTCCATCATTGAATAACTTGGTCCTGTGTGTGACTGAAATATAATTTTATCTATAGGGATTGTTCAGTATCAACAAATGACTATGTGTTTCTTAATGAAGAGAAGAAGAGTTATTAGGATGGGGGATGGGCACTGTAATGTTATCGTTGTTGTTCTAAAAACCAACATTAAGCTGTTATTCTTTCTCTTATTCCATTGTGTTTAGCTATTCTCTTTCATTTTTATAGGTTGTTTTATGTTTCCAATAATTCAAGTAAATTTATTTTTTTTAAGTTAGCTGGGAAGTTTGGAACTATCCTCTAATGATCATATAGAATAATGCTAAAATTTATATGCTACATGAGAACAAAAAGCTCTGAATCAGAAAAAATGATAAAAAAGTTTATATGTTTCTGATGAAAATGTGGTGGTTGAATATGAGTCACAAAGTAATTTGACATTTGCAAAAATGTATCTTCTGTGATTTTTTAGGATGAATAGAGATAAACATAATATCTGGGTACTTTTTGCCTGGTACATTATAGTAAATGTAATTTGTAGTAAAGAAGTTAACATACTTGGAATGGCGTTGATTGCAATGTATTTTATGAAGGACAGTCTAGTAGTTTATAAGTAAATACTCATATTTGGTGGATGACACTCAAAGTATCTAAGAGGATAAAAATTGCTTTAACAAATTTTATATGTGGGATAGTTATAACTTAATTTTAATTTTTAGGCTTATTGACTAAAAATAAATATTTAGCTCCCTTACATGAGAAGGTCTGAGGTAAGCATTTATAACTGTAAACAAACAAAAAAGATTATGGTGGGGCTCAGGATGCAGCATGAAGTTCTTTGCAGTTTTTCCTCATAGTGTCATAGGAAGAGGTGAGCCAAAAACTTTAGTATCTGATTTTCATGAGGTAGGTTTTATTATAGATAATGATTATATCATGTGGAGTACCTGGCCCTGAGTGTTATATAAGGAGCTACCCCCAGAAGTTCCTGTATTGCCTTTTGTTTCTTTCTTGACTTTTAACCTTTAACCTCTCAGTGCCAGAATTGGTTGAAATAGAATTACGTTATATAATAAGATTGATAACAAATGTAATCTTTGCTGGTTGTTTTTACCCTCAATTAAGAAAATGTGATGAGTACATACAGGAGAAGCATCAATTAACCAAAACCATTATCTAGTGTTTGTGGAAGTAAAATTAGTTTGAATTATTGTGAAAATAATTTACCTTTTCAAATTGTACTGGATTTTGATAAAGCATGTCTTTAAGTTTTACAATTGATCATTTATTCTTCATTCCCAAGGGTTTACATGATAGTTTTATTAAGACTAAAATCATTTCATTAAAGAAAGTGACTTTGTACGTTGACTTTATTTATTGAATTGGAAGCCTGTTTTCAGACTCACTAAAAAAAAGTTTTCATTAGATGGTTTCTACTTCAAATTGTGTAAATTGAACTTTTTTTTTCTTTTTTTTTTTTTGGTAAGCCCTCATTTCAACTCCAAGAACAATATTTTAATTTGTTAAAAGAAAAACTTCAGACAAAATTAATTTGGAAGAATTTATTTGAGGAAAGAAGGATTCATGAATTGGGCAGCACCATAAACCAGCAGAGGTTCAGAGAGCTCCTCCCAGCTATGTGGGAGTATTTATAGACAGAAAAAAGAAATGACATACAGAGGCAACTTGATTGGTTACAGCTCGACATTTGCCTTATTTGGGTATGGTGTGATGAGACATTTATCTTTTTTAGACATGGTATGATCAGTTAGCAGCCTGTGATTGGCTGAATCTCTGCTGCTGTGATTGGCTGAAACTCAGCTATCTGGTATAAGAATATACTCTTAAGTTAGGTGGCAGTTCACTATGTACAGAGGAAGCTGTAGTCCAAATTTAATTTAATTCAATAAACTAATAAATAAGAGAGATTCTGATTCACTGTGGGATTTGGAAAGACGCTGAATTTTAAGAATCATTGTGGTATAAAAGTGAAATATAACTTGCTTTATCTTTTATTTTCTAGTCTGTCAAAAACTACACCAAATGTCATGTGAGAAATGAGCAGATTTGTAATAAACTCACCAGCTGTAAAAGCTGTTCACTAAATTTGAATTGCCAGTGGGATCAGCGACAACAAGAATGCCAGGCTTTACCAGGTAAATACTTCAAAATTCGGGAATGAGTTTCATAGTATACGGATGAATACAATTATAGTAAAGTGTGTTTAGTAAGAACATTACATTTTCTAAATTTAAAGCAATAGCAAATACCAAGCTATAATATTAGAGTAATAATAGCATTGTTTCTACATGAAAAATTTTATAATTATATATTTATTCCCAATTCTTTTCAGATGTTCATGGTTTCTTGTGTTTGCAATACTATTGGCTTGATAACTTTGCATTTTAAAAAATTAGATATTGGGGCCGGCCTGTGGCTCACTCGAGAGAGTGCAGTGCTGATAACACCAAGGCCACGGGTTTGGATCCCATATAGGGATGGCTGGTTAGTTCACTGAGTAAGCGTGGTGCTGACAACACCAAGTCAAGGGTTAAGATCCCCTTACCGGTCATCTTTTTTTTTTTTTTAAAAAAGGAAAATAAATAAATAAATAAATAATTAGATATTAAAAACATAGAATATTATAAGCACTCAGGCTTAACATCCAGATCTAGCAAATACTAACATTTTGTCATATTTGATTTATTTTTAAAAAACCCTTTATTTTAAAAATTAATGAATATATTCTACTGACTGCTTTTTAATTACAAATTTTAACATTTATAATAAATATTGTCTGTTTTTATGAGCATCTACTTTGTACAAACCAGACCAAAGCTCATTTTAAAAAGTAATTTCATGTTTCACAGTTGACATTCTTAGTAGACCCCAAGTACTCCTTCTTTAAATAAAAAAGATAAAATTAGGAAATCAAAAAGCAATACAGGTATTTAACCAGCTTCATCTTCTTGTTATATAGATAAACTGAGAAACATGCTGGTTAAGTGACTTGCTCAAAACTGCACGGCTGTAAATGTCAGAGTCTTAACTATTAACTGAGTATTTTATTTCTGTTCAGTTATTTGCCTCCTCTCTCTATCCCATGGGTATTCCCCCCATAGAAAAATTTCTGAACCTGTGTTTTCTAAATAGTATTGGAAAATTCCATCACAGAATTTATGTCTGAAAGAGAATCTTTCTTACATGTTCATGTAATAAAGTCGAAATTATTCTGCCTTTATAAATACCATTGAGGTTTGTGAATGTTTATTCAGATTTTGAATTTTGTTTATATACTGACATCAAAAGCTTTTAAATAGTGAAAAAGTATTTAAAAAGCTTTTAAATATTTTAAATATGTGCTTGTATGTTCACTTTGTGAAAATTAGGGAATATTAATACAGTAGGCAGGATTTAAGAAGCAGCAGTGAGGTGACTCTAAGAACTTGAAAGTAGTATTGATCTCTGAGTCAACTATAAAATAAACATGTAGATCATTAAAATATTTACAAAGTCTCCTTAAAAAGAAAAATAAATTATTGAACAAAATAAGGTTCGATTGAAGGAATGCATACATTTAAAGGAAGACTGCTTCAATAAGAAGAGAATTTGGTGGCCAATGGAAGTTTGGAAAAATGACAGTGAAATTATCTTTGGTAGTACCCATCTACTCAGTCCCCAGGAAGAAAACTTTGCTTTAGTATAAGGGCTCCTCTTGACCAGGTTATTATTTTGGGCATACTAACTCCCTTTTCTGCATTCATACTCACTAAGCAGCCAACTGGGTGTAAATAGTTTGGTTTTCATTCATATTTTTTCAAGGAAGTGAATGTTCTAAATAGAGAACCCAGCCTGTAGACCAGTTACAGCATTCCATGAATACTGGTGAATTGCAATTTTTTGGCACCAATCTCATGTGAACTTGGCAACATGAATTTATCTCACTAAATTCATTAAGAAATGAACTGCTTTCCTTTTAACCTCACAGCTGAGTTGATGCCCAATACTTATGAAAGCCTTAAATGTCAAAATATTTGGTTCAATGGTATAGTTTAGTTTAGCCTCAAAGGCCCATGCATTTGTTTTTATTTGTATGATTTATCAATCAGCTATTTTTGGTCTCATTGAAGAAAAAAATGAAACAGGCAAAAATAATCTGAATCCTTCCTTGTTTCAGTAAAGTGAGAAAAAAACCAGAACTTTTGTACCATAAGGAAAAGTGATTTGATACTTTGGATCCCAGAATACTGGGAAGATTGAGGCCACATGGGCATACTAAACAATCTTATTAGATGATAATTACAGTTTTTTGAAGGATTACTATGTCCTAACCTCTGTGGATTATAATCCTTGGAACAGCAGCTATCAAAGAACAGGAGGCCCCAATACTAACAATGCTAAGATATTATTTGCATTTTTTACTCTCATTCTGTTAGGTGTTTACCATGGAGTTTACCAAAGGCCATGTGATGTGTGCTATCCCAGTAGATTGAATGTAGAAGCAGATAGGAGAATGCAGTTGTCTTTTATTAAGCCAGACATTAAAGAGAGTGGCAAAAATGTAAAGCAGTACCACACTACTTATTATTGTGACATTTTATTGTGAAAAGTTTCAAAAACAGAAAAAGATGGAAAGAATTGTAGCGAAGACACCCAATACCCACATTCTAGATTCCACAATTCATGTTTTGCTCTATCTATTTTATTCCTGATCACTCTGTCTATCCACCCTTTATTCATTTATTAATCCATCTTAATTTTTTGATGCCGGGGGCCTAATTTGAACTGTCAGCTGCTTCCTGTAGGAGAGGGAATTCGAAGATACATTTCCTTCGGGACTGTTTATATAGCATAATGGCACAAGACGTCTCAGCAGCTGGAAGAGTGTATTTGGAATGGGATTTTACATTATTTTAAATGAATAAATAAATATATTTTTAAGTTATTAGTTTTAATTTTAATATGGTCCAAATCAACAGATATAGCATGCATAAAGAAAAGTTCTGTGGAGCCCTCAATAATTTTTTAGTATTAAAAACCAAAAATTTTGAGAACTGTTGCTTTAGAACAATTCCATAAGGGTTGTACTAATGCATCTAGGCCTTTTCTATAGGGCAAGAGGTACTAATATGCTTAATGTGATATGGAAACTAAGATGTAGTTAAACTTTATAGATCAGTGTGTTAATGAAACCCTGCAGTGTTAATTAGTGCACATTACAGCATAACTTTATAATGTATTTATAAACCAGTGTTTTAGAAAATAGGCACTGCTAGGGCCGGCCCGGTGGCACACTGGATAAGTGCGCCGCTTGGGAAGCGTGGCGGCGCTCCCGCCCGAGGGTTCGGATCCCACATACAGACCGGTTCCCGCTCACTGGCTGAGCGAGGCGCGGGAGCAACGCCGAGGGTTGCGATCCCGTTGCCGGTCCCCGGTCCGGTACGGGGGCAACACTGAGGGTTGCGATCCGTTGCCAGACACGGAAAAAGACAAAAAAAAAAAAAAAAGAAAATAGGCACTGCTTAAAGTTTGGACTCTATGGATAAACTACTATTACTGAATAGTATGTTTCAACTTTACGAAGACCTCAATACTTATGTAAAACTAAACATTAGAAAGCAAAGATTAGAGCTTCTTTACTAAACATAGGTGAAATGAGACTTCTGTATTCTTATTGATAATTAAAGAATCAAGGACCTCGATTTATATAAAAACAATATATCTGGGTGATGGAAATTACATTTGAAGGTCAATTATCCTCACATAGGAATAATTTTGAAATTGCTTTTGTTATATGCTAGTTGTTTTTCTATTAAAGTGATGTTTTCTTATATAAATTGGACTTTGGGACATAAATATAGAAGTCATTTTACTTACTGAGATACCATATGCCAACACATTAAATTTTACATAGAAAAGCTAGCAAACAGTCAATTGGTTTTAACACGTCTGGAGCCATTGCTTTTCTTATATTTAAGAAATAAAGAAAAAATTAGAATCTTCTGTTCTCATTTTCCACCAAACTATTAGACAAATTTTACTTGGGATATTATGTGGAGATATTAAAAATGTTTTATTTAAAAAATAATTAAAACAAATACAGAAGTTATATTTAGATTTCTGAAATAATTGAAAGATACATAAACTTTTTGTTAATATAAAGAAAGATGTTATATATATGCATTTTTTGACTAGCGCATCTTTGTGGAGAAGGATGGAGTCATATTGGGGATGCTTGTCTTAGAATCAATGCCAGTAGAGAAAGCTATGACAATGCAAAACTTTATTGCTATAATCTCAGTGGAAATCTTGCTTCGTTAACAACCTCAAAAGAAGTAGAATTTGTTCTGGATGAAATACAGAAGTATACACAACAGGTAACACATATACTTGTTTATATTATGGAATTATGCTATGATAATACTACAATTTTTGGAAATGCTTTGTTCTTTTTGTTTTCTTCTTAATATTCTTACTAAATCTTGGAAGTAAAAGTCAAACTGATTTTGAAAGTGAACTGGCAGAGGACTTATTCTTTATGTGTTGTTTAGTAATAAAGTTTTATAAATTACTTATGTTTTGCATGGTAAACCACTGTATTACCTCACCAAAAAGTCATCTCATATGAATAAATATACTTAAAAACGTGTGTAATGTTCTCAAAGGTTTTAGTGAAAAGGGAGACAAACAATTACATTGAAGTGTGTTAATTGCAATGATAGATGCACACAGGGTGATGGCCAACATTAGAGGATGGACATCTAACCAGTCATGTGGACTTCAGGAGTTTTCTAGAGGGATGTCTTAGCTAAGTTTTGCAGGACATGGAGTTGGCCGGCAGATGACAATATTTGTAAATGCCAGAGAAACTCCTTTGTTATTTTCTCTTGTGTTGTTTGAAAGCTACCTGCTGGAGGTTAAGATTTATGTGGTGGCATGTGGGAGAGACCTATTGATTTTTATAGTATTTTCGAAAAACATGCCAGGATATATTTATAAAGTTTTATTTTATTTTATTTTTTTTGTCTTTTTCCGTGTCCGGCAACGGATCGCAACCCTCAGTGTTGCCCCCGCACCGGACCGGGGACCAGCAATGGGATCGCAACCCTCGGCGTTGCCCCCGCGCCTCGCTCAGCCAGTGAGCGGGAACCGGTCTGTATGTGGGATCCGAACCCTCGGGCGGGAGCGCCGCCACGCTTCCCAAGCAGCGCACTTATCCAGTGCGCCACCGGGCCGGCCCTAAAGTTTTATTTTTAAGTGTTTGGAACATGACATAAGTTAACATCTGTTTGTAATGTGACATCATGAGTTTCAGTTCTTTAACTGTAAAAAATGAGGGACAATTATTAATGAACATGTGAAAATCAGTTCTACTGAATACCCATCACTCTTGAGACCATATTTTTGGCAGATCCACATTCTCTGTGTTTTAGAAAGTACTAGTTTTTGGCCTTAGAGCTGTAGTGCTTTTTTCCTTATTCAAAACACGTTATTTTAGTTCTTACAAAATAACTTGACATGTACTATTTTAGAAGTTGCATATTTCAAGATTTCTTGTGTTAGTTGCTCATTTTTTCTTGCCTATTATTATAAATCATAGATTGGATTAAATTATTTTGAATTTGTGATGAACTTAGACTTGATAGTTTTTTGACTAGTAAATGAAGAATGTTTTGTTTTATCAGAAAGCTGAGCTTTAGCAAGATTTCAAAGCTGGAAACTTCTGCAAGGTGACATTCCATTAAGTATATCTTTATATAAAACAATTTATATCACAAGTCATTGCAGTTGTATAAACTTAAGATAACCCTTCTTTGGCAAATAAAGATTGATAAATCCATGTACTTTAAAGAGATATTTTGGGCCAAATAATCGTTTAACTTATTGGAAATGGCTGATGAAATGTTACAATGATTTATGGTGTGCTGAAGTAAATTTTCGTAATACAGTAATTTATCTTTCATTTTCAACTGGCTGTCCAGTCCATTTAGTGAGTAATAGTTACTTTAAATGTTTTATCAGCTGCTTTATTTTTCTGTTTCTCTCCTCTTCCTCTCAGGTTCTTATCATGATGAGTTAGAGTGTAATATTTCATTTTAAATGACTTGTCTTTACCATAGACAGTTCGGGAATATAGGCAGAATTTCTGTAATGTGAAACACAATTGTTAATCTGAAGTATCTATTTTGGATTGACTCCTGATCATCAAGAACTGTAAAAATATAACTTTTCTGTTATCAAAATATCTTTCAGAACAATGTGTGAAATAAGATCATAATGTAAAGCAGCATATATATCTTTGTAATTAGAAACTATTTATTACATACCATCTCTGTCTCAGGCATTGTGCTGGATGGTGGAAAACTAACCATCTTTGTTCTAATAAATTTTATTTAGCAAATTTTATTGATTACCTACTCTGTGTACGGTACTCTAATAGTTGATATGAAATATACTGTCATAATGAAAATTCATACAATATTTTAATTTTGTCCAAGAAACATTTGTTGAATGCTTCCTGTGTGGAACTCGCTGTAGTTATACACTACAAATTTCTAGGTGTATGGCCATCTTTTTAAGCTCTCTAGGACCATTTGTCCAACATAGTTAGAATGAATACTGGATATAAATATCTCATTTCTGTATTATTAAAGACTAAGAGAGTCAGAGTTTTCTCTATACTGGCAGTCCACAATGTAAAAAAAAAATGATTTGAGTGTTTTTTTTAAAATTTAATTTAATTTAATTTTACTTCTCAATATGCTTTGGCCACTTAACATGAAGGTGACCTATGATCTCAGCCTGATGGGACTGTACAAATGGGTTACCACCCAAGTCCATGTGCTTTGAGGTCAAGGATTCTCTTCCTTTTTCTTTGTGTTCTCCATATGAAATGCAGATGGGTAATCAATGCCAGATACATGTTGAAACAGATTCTCATGCTCTCATTGAATCCAGCTGCAAGACCAAACAGAATGTAATAGCAAGTAAATAATGTTACTGATTATTGCCCAGATCCATACTTTGGGTTTTTTTTTTTTGTTAAATTTTATTTTATTTTATTTTACTTCTCAAAATACATTGTACTTGATTTTCATGACCCTTTACCTGTTCCTCTCCACACTCCCCTGCCACATCGTATCTGTGCACTTGGCTTAAATAGTTCAAGGAATTTTTGTGGTTATTCTGTCTTCTTCCTCCCACTCTTTATTCGTTTGTGTGTTTATTTATTTATTAATTTTTAACTCCCACAAATAAGTGAGAACATGTAGTATTTCTCTTTCTGCACCCGACTTGTTTCACTTAATATAATTTTCTCTAAGTCCATCCATGTTGTTGCGAATGTCTGAAACCATTTTACACTATAATATAGTATTGGTAACTTAGTATTTTAGAAGATAAATATATTATTATGTATATTAAAGTAGAGGTGTTTATGATGTAATAGAATTTTATAAAGATAGTGACTTGGATTAAGAATGTGTCATTATTTTTTGGGCATCATAAGAATAACATTTTAAAATTGAGTAATAATTAAAATATATAAATATGGAAAATATTTTGATTTTAAGCTAATTTTGAAATATTAGTGAAAACATTAAGAATAGTTATGTAGCATTTGTCAACCTCTATTAGTTAAATTTTAGGTGCAAGAGTCAGATTTTATCAATTTTCTTGATCTCTTTTTTTAATAAAAGTAAATAATATTAATTTATCTAAAATTCTTAACAGTCTAAATGTAGTAGAGGTCTGAACTTGAAGAAAGGCAGTTATTCTTCTCTCAATTCTTTTGTGAAGTTCTGTTATGAAGTCTTTACTCAGATTCTATATACTGTTTGTTGATTTTGTTCTCTACTTTCACACTGTGAATAATGGCAATTTAACTTAAGTCCATAACTGATTGATAATAGTAGCAGTAGCATCCGTAACAATATGTTAAGTTTTTTAATGATCTTGCCACATAAGGTAGACATTTATATCAGATATTTACATCCCCATTCTATAGAAGAGGAAACTGAGGCCTACAAGGGCTAAATAAATGACCCAAATTGTGTAGCTAAAACAAAACCTATGTTTTCAAAATAGTGTTCTATTCTCCTTCATTCTCCAAAATATGCTGGAATTATTGATTATCCTTGGTACTAAAAGTCATTGGAAAGGCATTTCTATATATTTTCAAATGTAATTTTTAATGATAATGAACTATTTGCTAAGAAATATGATGCAATATTTTTACCTCTAATTTTTAAAAATGCCCCTTTCCTGTTGTTTACAGAAAGTATCACCTTGGGTAGGCTTGCGCAAGATCAATATATCCTACTGGGGATGGGAAGACATGTCTCCTTTTACAAACACAACACTACAGTGGCTTCCTGGTGAACCAAATGATTCTGGGTTCTGTGCATATCTAGAAAGGGCTGCAGTGTCAGGCTTAAAAGCTAATCCTTGCACATCTATGGCAGATGGCCTAGTCTGTGAAAAACCTGTGGGTAAGTAGTCCAGTAAATTAGCATTTCTTTAAAAATGTGTTTCCAACCCCTTTTCCTGCTTCCTCTTTCCAGGGTGTAGTCTGAAGTAACTTACACCATCTTTTTATGATGTTTATTCCCTGATAATTGTGTAAATTCTATTTTTATCCATATTTCCAACTTTTAGTGATCTCAGCCTTAACCTGTGAAAAATAACAAAATTTTGTTGTTTTGTACAATCTTTATTTCTTGGTTAAGATAGTGAGATTATAAACAGTGGTTGTAGTTACTTACAGTATAGCAATAATCTATTCTTAGTTTGTTAAGATTTATCTTTAAGATTAATGACTAATTGAGACTCATTTTAATGTGGTAGATCTGTTATTTCATCTGTCAAGTAAAAAGAAACATTTCTGTTACATCTTTTGGAATGGATTTTTGTTAATTTGAGAAAGGAATGTTGAATTCTTTTCTTTTCAAATATTGTATTTTATTGTGGTAAAATATACATAACATAATATTTACCATTTTAACCATTTTTTTCCCCTTTTTTGTCTTTTTTACTGACCAGTAATGGGATTGCAACCCTCGGTGTTGCGCCCGCACCGCGCTCAGCCAGTGAGCGGGAACCGGTCTCCACATGGGATCCGAACCCTCGGCAGGAGCACCGCCGTGCTCCCAAGCGGCGCACTCTCCAGTGCGCCACCGGGCCGGCCCCATCTTAACCATTTTTTAGTGTACAGTTTAGTGGCGTTAAGTACATTCACACTGTTGGGCAGCCATCACAGCCATCCATTTCCAGAACTTTCTTCATTTTGCAGAACTAAAACTCTATACCCATTAAACAACAATTCCCCATTCCTCCTCCCCTTAGCTCCTGGCAACCACCATCCTTTCTATGATTTTGACTACCTCATACAGTAGAATCATACAGTGTATAACCTTTTGTGACCGGCTCATTGCCTGGTACAATGTCTTCAAGTTTCATCCACATTGTAGCATGTGTCAGAATTTCCTTCCTCTTTAAGTCTGAATAATACTCCATTAAATGTATATACCGCATTTTGTTCACTTGATCATACATCAGTGGACACTGAGTTGCTTCCACATTTTGGTTATTGTGAATAATGATACTATCAATTTGGTTGTACAACTATCTGTTCAAAATTCTGCTTTCATTTCTTTAGAGTATATAGCCAAAAGTGGAATTGCTAAAGCATATGGTAATTCTATGTTTAATTTTTTGAGGAGCTGCCATACTGTTTTCCACAGCGGCTGTGCTATTTTACATTCCCATCAGCAACGCCCAAGGTTCCAATTTCTCCACATTCATATTTTTTTTCTTTTTTAATAATAGCCATTCTAATGGGTGTTATAAATATTGTATTTTAGTAAAGATTTTATAGTAATTTGTATTTTTATTGTTTGTTTATATCAGAGACATGTTCACTAAGAAGACATGTGCTTTGATAAGGTGTAGAATGTTTATGGAAAAAAATGTGGCTGGGAAAGTAAATAATGCCAGTGTACATAATATTTAGCTAATGGATAGAAAAACTAGGCCACAGATTACATTACTATTTATAATTTTTAAAATTTACAACTTTATGTACTTAGTAAAAAATCAAACATTTCAAAGGAAGAATAAATTTCAATTTTAATGATATATTTAAGAATTATTGACATGTCATCTTTATTTTTATTTATCTCATCATGTTATAATGAGGTAAATAAAACACTTGGCTTAAGTAAAACAGTCCCTATACAGCAAAACAAACAAAATCTGTACACTTGCGTTAAAATGCAGTTAACAAATGGAAATAATTATATTTGTTTGTTTATTCCAGTTAGTCCAAATCAAAATGCAAGGCCATGCAAAAAGCCGTGTTCTCTAAGGACATCATGTTCCAACTGTACAAGCAACGGCATGGAGTGCATGTGGTGCAGCAGTACAAAGCGATGTGTTGACTCTAATGCTTATATAATCTCCTTTCCATATGGACAGTGTCTAGAGTGGCAAACTGCCACCTGCTCTCGTAAGTATTTATCTAGAGTGACTTTTCATTTAGCAGCAACATAGAGCTTTTTGCTGTGATGGAAAGAAGAGTTAAACATTTGAGGAAGCTTCAAAAGAAAAAGAAATTATAGCTAGTTTTAAAACCTACTAATGCTATTAGACTCTGATTTGTATTATGTCATCATTTGGAATTCCACTAAGTATCTTACCCTAGATATTAATGTCTTGCCACACTTCTGTTCCCCCTTCCCCTGAATTCTGAGTGTATGTTGCAGACAGCAAAATACCTTTTTTTTTTTTTTTTGTCTTTTTCCGTGTCTGGCAACGGATCGCAACCCTCAGTGTTGCCCCCGTACCGGACCGGGACCGGCAACGGGATCGCAACCCTCGGCGTTGCTCCCGCGCCTCGCTCAGCCAGTGAGTGGGAACCGGTCTGTATGTGGGATCCGAACCCTTGGGCAGGAGCGCCACCGCGCTTCCCAAGCGGCGCACTATCCAGTGTGCCACCGGGCCGGCCCCAAAATACCTTGTGATAATGCTCACCTCAAGGATCACATATTGCTTTGTTGTGCCTCTTTAATCTTCTTTAATCTGGTACAGTTCCCATGTCTTGTTTTTATTACATGGCTTTGATATTTTGAAAAATCTGCACCAGTTGTTTTGCAGGTTTCTCATTTTGGATTTGTCTCATTGTTTACTCATGATTAGGTTCAGGTAAGCACTTTTTGGCAAGACTATCTTATCAATGTTAATGTATCTGCTACAAGTGCAGGATGCAGTCTTGGCATCACACGGAGATTCATATCAGCAGGGGGATACTGGACTTGCTGTTGGTTTTGCTTCAGGAGAAAGGTCCTTCCCCTCACTGGTCTCATACAATATAAGGTCTGTAGGATGAGGATGCACCTGACTGACTCTTTGATACTGGGAACTATGTGGTTATGAGAGTAGCCTTGCTTGCAAAGGCTAATTGCATCCGAATGCAGCTGCCAAAGGAATTGGATAATACTACTGATAGCACTTGGTGGCCTTGTAGGAAGTTGAGACCAAGTGCAGCTCCTCTGCTTGGGAGAAGGAGGCAGAACTGGTCTCAGCTAGCTTCTTGCTAGTGGAGAATATGGTTTATCTTTCCACAATACATTCTCTGACATAGAGGTTTGTCAAAAATATAACCTGAATTAATTGGTCTTTTCAGATATGGAATAAGAAAGGTGAAAGTGTTATTTATTCCTGTTGCTCCCATCACCTGCTTCTCAATGTTGGATACATGCATTGATTTCCTAGTCATTGGGGTCTATCCCTCTTGTGATTGGTCCAGACTTTATGTCCTTTTTTTGGAATAATATGCTTTGTAGGAGCCAAACAGTTACCATTCCACCACCAGAGTTAGCGGGAGAATCACCTGAGATGAAGTTGGTGTACATGTTTATATCCATACAGGACTCCTTGATTTGAACAAAGCAAAACATCAGTTTACATGCTGAAGTCCACACAGACATAGACATCGTTTGATAAGGATGTTAGGATTGCTTTTTTCTATTTCTGTGAAGAATGTCATTGGTATTTTGATGGGGATTGCATTGAATCTGTAGATCACTTTGGGTGATATTGACATTTCACAATGTTATTTTTTCCAATCCATAAGCATAGAATGTCTTTCTATCTTTTTGTGTCCTCTTTAATTTCTTTCACAGTGATTTGTAGTTCTCATTGTAGGTCTTTCACTTCCTTAGTTAAATTTATTCCCAGGTATTTTATTTTTTTGGTAGCTACTGTAAATGGGCTTACTTCTTGATTTCTTTTTCTAATAGTTCACTGTTGAAGTATTAAAACACTACTGATTTTGGGCCGGCCTGTGGCTCACTCGGGAGAGTGTGGTGCTGAGAACACCAAGGCCATGGGTTCAGATCCCATATAGGGATGGACGGTTGCTCACTGGGTGAGCGTGGTGCTGACAACACCAAGTCAAGGGTTAAGATCCCCTTACCGGTCATCTTTTGAAAAAAAATAAAAAATAAAAATAAATAAAACACTACTGATTTTTGTGTATAGATTTGTATTCTGCAAATTTACAGAATTTGTTTATCAGCTCTAGGAGTTTTTTGGTAGAGTCTCTAGGTTTTTCTATATATAGGATCATGTCATCTGCAAGTAGGGACAATTTGACCCTTTCTTTTCCAGTTTGCATGCCTTTATTTCTTTTCTTGCCTGATTGCTCTGGCTAGTACTTTCAATAATATGTTAAATAGGAGTGGGCTTCCTTGTCTTGTTCCTGTTTATTTATTTATTTATTTATTTATTTATTTATTTATTTATTTATTTATTTTGAGTTGTTTCATATCTAAATGTGTACTTTTCATTTTCACTTGAATGATAGAATGGCTGGTTATAGAGTTGTAAATAATTTTTTTCTTTGCACTTCTTTAAGCATTCAGCACATGGATGAGATTTCTAAGGCAACTCTAATTTTCATTCCTTTATGGGACGTGTTTTTTTTTTTTCTTTCAATGGCATCTTTTAAGATTTTTCTCTTTATTGTTGGCATTCTAAAATTTTACAGATTGTTTTAATTCAGTTTTTCAGTTATTGGTGTGAATTTTTGAAATGAAAATTTCTAAAAAAATTTGTTATTGAAGAAAAGGATTTGCACTGTCTCTTTCAATCTGCTTCTTCACCTGCTGAAAATGTTCTTTTATATGTTTCCTTCTTTTTAGTCTTTTTGGAAATCTTAAAATGATTGTTGAAACTTCTAGATATGTCTTAGTATCTCTTAACTTCACTTATGCTTTCCATATCTTTGTTTGCTAATATTTAGGAATTTTTCCCTTTTATGGTCCTTCAATTGAGGCTTTTTATTTCTGTAAAGTGAGTTTTTTGAGAACATTTTAATTCCACTATAAAAATTGTTTAACTGAATTTTTTGAGAAGTGAAACACAATTAAGTATTTAAACACAGGTATGAATTGCATTTTTACCACTGACAAATCAAATAATGATAACTAAATACAGCTGATGGAGTTGTTAGCTAGGTATGCATAGATCAGTTCTTCAGTTCTACTTTTGTGTCTCTTGTTCTGATCTTTTGCTTCTTTTGTTTTCTTGATTGTTGTAGCTTTACTATCTACCTCTACAATATGTTCCTTGAGTAAAGTAGTCTAGTCTGCTGGGTTTTTTTTTTTTTCTTCTCCGTAGGTCTTTTACTTTCTCTGTTATGTCTATTGTCATGTTTGTATTTCCTATATATAGCTCATTTGTGCTGATGATGTCCAACTCTACTATAGAATTTATTTTTGTTCCACAGCTTTTCTATTATATGCCCCATACATCTTTGTGGGAAAAAAGGACATTGTACATTGCCTCAGGAGTCCTTGTATTTCTGGAAGTAGTAGAGTTGGCCTCTGCATTTGTGGATTCAACCAATCATGGATCAAAAATATTTTGAAAATAATTGCTTCTGTACTGAACATGTACAGACTTTTTTCCCTTTGCTATTATTCCCTAAACAATGCAGCATAACAACTATTTACATAACATTTACATTGTATTAGGTATTGGAAGTAATCTAGAGATGATGATTTAAAATAGACGGTAGGATATTTGTAGGTTATATGCAAATAGTGCACCATTTTATAACATGGATTTGAGTATCCATGGATTTTGGTATCTGCAGAAGGTCCTGGAACCAATCCCTCATGGTGACTGTGAGAGTACTGTGGCAGTAATCCACTCTTTGAGAAAAACAAACTTCTTCATTATCTTTATTTTTTCCGTGTTTTTAACCAACCAACATGTATTGAATAGTGAAAAATGCCAGGAAATAGCGACTAAGGGTGAAGATGATATTCCCGCTCAAAATTCAAGTGCTAAAAATAGCTGACTGTTTTTCTTTCAAAAGTCTCAGCTTTGGGGCACCTTTGAAAGCTTTGCCATGCTTTGGTCTTTAACTTCATATCTTTTTAGGATTAACTATATGTAATAGATTTACATTACCATTTGTACTGCATGTGTCTAGTTATTTATTTAATATTTGGCAGTAGTAAATCTTTAAAAATATTTTTATAGTTATTACCAAAACTTTGTATTAGAAATGGTCCAAGTTTTATGTTGCATTTATAAAGTTGTTTCCGATGATCATTTGAGGTTTATTGGTAAATGGTTCTTAAGGGAAACTTTTCTTTGGAAATGAAAAACAAATATGGATTTCTCAATATTCTCCAGTATTTTCCGGTAATAATACTTTGATATCAATGTTTAAAATTCAGAAATTGAATAGACGAAATATATTTTAAGACAAATTTTACCTAATGGTTTCTGAGAAAGCTTTGTTAATAACTGGCATTGTTAATAATAAATGTATTTTAAGTAGCTAGATATTCTGTTCGTGAAAATAAATTTCAAGGGCATTATTTACAGCAATAATAGAAGATTCACTTCTTAATATATAAAAGTTTAAATGAAAATGCAATTAAATTAATATAGTGAAAATGGAACAATAAGAAACTTGTAGATACAGTATACATCTCACAAATGTATGTTTATTTCAATATTTTATAGGTTTATATACCTCAATGTAAACACTGTTCTTTTCTTGGCAATTAAGGAAGGTAATCATTTTTCAAATTTTATGACAGTTTCTTACCGATTGATTTTTAAAAATTCTTACATATTTAAACAGTATTGAATATTTTATGACTTGATTTTTCAAAAAGCCAAAGACAAATAAAATAAAATAAAATAAAATAAAATAAAATAAAATAAAATAAAATAAAGATTGCTCTAATTACCTGTAGTTTATACATAGTGTCTATGTGATTTATAACTTTAGGAACAGTAGCAAAGTTTACATAACTTTTGTATAATATTGTTTTCTATAAGAAAAATAATTAGAATATGTTAGTTTTTGAGTCACTATTAAACACTAAAGAATGAATTTTTTGTTAATTTTTTAGCAGTGCATGTTGCTTTTCACTCTTTAGCAAAAATCAAAACCAACATTATACTTATTTAATAGTTTTAGATCTAAAATGAAATCAAAGAGATTAGAATGTTTTTCTGATTACATCATTTTGTAAGTTGTTGTTAATGCCTAAAATCCAATAGATAAATAGAACTAGAAGCTTAATAGTTTGTCATCAGTCAGTGCAAGAAACCCAGGATTCTTTAACCTAAGATTTCCCCAGTTGTTTGGAAATCATTGACAGGAATGTTATATTGAGAACAGTTTAATTGTAGTGTATCTTGAAGACATTTTAACATTTCTTTCCTTAAAAAGACAGTTCTAAAATAAAATTTACTTTGCTAGGAAATACCGACAGAGTATAAATATATTGGAAAACTAGATTTATTCTGGGTGAGACCCAGTAAAGATTTACTTCAAATCATCACACAATAGTGAATAATTGGAATGTCAAGATAACATAACTAATTAGATAATTTCCATTATTTCTCATTAATTGAGTAGGAACCCAGTATAGTTATGAAGACAATTGGAATAGTGCAGTCAACAATAATGTAGGCTAACTACAATCACAGGTATAAGAGAAATATTTTGAACCAAGAAAATTATGGAAGGGTGTGGTAATGTATGAAGTGTTCAGTTATCTAAGGATCTTTTAAATGAAGTGTTATTTTCCACTATGTACTGTTGAAAAAATGTAAATTTACAAAGGAAAACTCTTCATGTCAATGAATTATTTATCTTTAAGTTTAACATTAATCACTTGTGTTAAATGACTCAAAGAGTATTCTTCCTTTTATATTTCTTATTAAGGAAATTATACTTACGGTACTTATTCTTCTTATATCCAATCGCTGAGACGCTTAGCACTAAAAGAATTCACAACAAATAATATTATAATTGATGAATTATTTAATACAATATTCTGTTATCTCTGCAGAATCTTTGCCTATTATATTGAGTTCCTGATGTTCCCTGAGAAACTTGTGCTATTCTTGTTTGTAGTAATCTGAGGAACATTTGTGTTCCCAGTAGTATTAAAACACTGAGTGGCAGCTAAGTTATTAATACCACAATGATGAAATTGAGTCTGCTAAAGATCTACTATTTTTTTTTTTTCCTCTGTAGTTTTTGTACCATGAGACTAGAAGATGACATTCCTGGTGCCTTGTATGTTTGTCACTATGTTCTTTGGATACACAGATACATAGACAAAGTGCACCATTCCTAGAAAAGCATCAGTGAAAGTAATTATAGAAAGTCTCAGCCTATGGGGCCGGCCCGGTGGCGCACTGCTACAGTGCGCCGCTTGGGAGTGCGGCTGCGCTCCCGCCGAGGGTTCGGATCCCACATACAGACCGGTTCCCGCTCACTGGCTGAGTGAGGGGCGGGCGCAGCACCGAGGGTTGCGATCCCGTTGTCGGTCCTGGTCCGGTACGGGCGCGACACTGAGGGTTGCGGTCCGTTGCCAGACACGAAAAAAGACAAAAAGGAAAAAAAAAAAAAAAGAAAGTCTCAGCCTAATATATGATTCTCTGATTGTGAATTAAAAATTTAAAACATCACATAGCAACAGCTATGGATATGATTTCAGACGACAATATCTGTTCATCCTTGGATTTGTTGAATCTCATAAGTTATATTTCAATCAAAATACAAAAAAAAAAAAAAATGTTGAGCTTCAGCAAATGAGTCTTGGAGTGATATTCTTTAGCCCTGAAAGTTAGAGTGTGTGTTCCTGGTTGCCTCACTAAAGCACAGTATCAGGTTTTTGTGCTCCCATGCAGCTTGGCTCTTTGGGTGGTATTGAGCTTATTCATCACATGATAGCCAAATACTAGTATCTTGCATCCTTGGGAAGAGCATTGTCCATGAGAGTCAGCCAAATGGGGCCTAAGCAATCTCAGGGAATGGGCAGGCATCACTCACACTGGATATATGTGGGCAGAAATTTTCATTGAAGGCTCTTATTAGGCACAACAAGAATGGCTGACGTGGCTCTACATCACAGACGATGGTAAAGGTGGTCTGTAGGCCCCTGGATGAGCTCCAGAAATCCTAGTGTTGGTAAAGTTATCAGGAATCATTAAGTACTAACTTTATTTTTCTCCATGTTATGGTTGCCTTTTCCCACCCCAAACCAGTCCATTTATCTCCTCTTTATTCATGATGTGTTTTTTATTTGCTTTAAGTACTTGCTGTCTCTTGGGTATTATTGCAAAAATGTTTACATTTATTTTGCTGTCTTTTTTTTCATGATCATATTTGTTTTTCCATTAGCCTACAATTCTGGTTGAATATAAAGTCATGTAACATATTTGTTAATGTTTCTGTCATGCAGCTCAAAATTGTTCTGGGTTGAGAACCTGCGGACAGTGTTTGGAACAGCCTGGATGTGGCTGGTGTAATGATCCTAGTAATACAGGAAGAGGACACTGCATTGAAGGATCTTCACGGGGACCAATGAGGCTTCTTGGAATGCACAATGAGATGGTTCTTGACACCAATCTTTGCCCCAAGGAAAAGAACTATGAGTGGTCCTTTATCCAATGTCCAGGTAATAAAAATGTGATGAAAACAATTTCAGTTTCTGTTTGAGTAAAACAAGGAATTTTCTTTTCTTATAGAAAGATTTAAAAAAACTACAGTGAAAAAATGAGACTCAAGTTTCAAAGATAAAAAATGTTTTCCCCTAGACTATATTTATCTCTGTTGTATAGGTGGTATTCTGTTTAGAATCATTAAATAGGCTAAACACATTCAGGGAATACATGATTAGATTTGGTTTTATGTGAACCTTTAAGAGGAAAATATTTTGGCTTCATGTCAATTTTCTACTCTGTAGCAATGACTATAGTCTTTTATTGTTCATAGTATTATAATATCCTAGAATTCTCAGACAACTCAGAGTATCCATTCAAACTTCATTCTAAGTATGAGAATGTTCTATATAACATCTGTAGTAGAGTCATCTGGCCTCATTTTGAAAACTGCCATTGGTATTCACTACCACTCAATTTTGAAGATCATTTTATTTTTCAGAGGCTTTCTTCATAAGAAGTCTGTACTTATACTAAATAAAATCAATCTCCTTGAAAAATTAATTTATTTAACATTTTTATTGAGTGCCTGCCATGTGCCAAGGAGTATTTTAGGTGCTAGAGACACAACAATTAGCAAATTAGAGTAAAATCACTGCATTCATGGAGCTTATATTTTAATTGAAACTAATAAAATTATTTAAATAAACATATATAAAATTAGATTGAGTTCAGTGCTATTACATAAATAATCAAGGGGGATAACAGTTGCTATTAAAAACAGGGAAGTGAGAGAAGACCTCACTGAGAAGTAACAAACACCTGAGGTAGATGAGGATATAAATCATGGAGATATTTGGAAAAAGAATGTTCCAGAAGATGTAACAGTCTGACACAGGATTTGGGTGAGGTAGTTATTCAGGAGATGATTTTAGGTGGCAGAAATGAGCGAATGGTGAGAGTTTCAACAGGAAGGGAGAAATACCAATAATACTTATATATGCGTTATTAAGCTGGCTACCGCACTGGGAAGTTTGGGCTTGGACCCACTGGGGACCTGTGAAGAACCATGCAGAATGACCCTCAGAGTTATCCCACTGAGGAATTGAGAGGCTAGGGCATTAATCCAGTGTCTCCCATCCTCTATTGGTTGAGCAGTGTTCTTAGGTGTATTAATTCCCTTGTACTCCTGAACTGTTCCAGCCATGTCTGACCAACAGCTTTCCCTGGCACAGTGAAAACACTAAGGCAGAAAAGTAGAGAGACCTCAGAACAGGCTTTAGATAAGACACTGACAATGTGTAGCACCAAAACTGGATGAATCCAGGGAATTGTGGCACAGGGTGAAACAATACCTGCTACAAAGTTTATGAAATACATAAAAAACAATAAAAAGAAACCAATTATTGATTCACACAACAGCATGGCTGAATCTTAAGTGCATTTTGCTTAGAGGAAGAAGCCAGACCAAAGGCTGCATGTTGTGTTATTTCATTTATAAAATAATCTGAAACAGATAAGATTATGGGGATGGAAAACAGATCAGTTATTTGCCAGGAGTACGGGTAGGGATTCATTTCACTACTGAGGTTGTTGATAACATAACTCTATGCATTTGTTAAAATTCATACTGTATACCACAAAGATTGAACTTTACTGTATTTAATGGGAGCTGGGTTTCCCACTGTCAGGGAAAGACATTAAAAATAAGCAAGGGTTGAGGGCTAAAATGAAGCCTGTCATACTGGATTACAGTCTGAGAGAATAGCATGAATTTAGGTTTATATTAATATATATACACAGAAATAAATCTAGATATGTTTGTTAAACATGGATTAGTATACATGCCTATACTTTCTTTTTTAAAAATTATTTTTATACATATTTATGGGTACAGAGTTGACTACTAGGATTAGTATACAGTACGTGATGATCAAATCAATATTATTAGCATGTTCATCATTACGAATCGTAATTTTTGTTTCCCGTATCCATTTACTCCCTATCCACCATCCCTCTACCCTTTTCCCATCTCAATAACCATAGGTCTCTTCTCTCTTGAAAGTTCAATGTTTTATTATGGTCTTTCTTTCATTCTTTGTTTCTTAGCTCCCACTTACGAGTGAGGACGTGCAATATCTCTCTTTCTGTACCTAGCTCATTTCATTTAACATAATTTTCTCCAAGCTCATCCACATTGCTGCGAATGGCAGAAAATCGTTCTTTTTTATGGCTGAGTAGTATTCCATTGTGTATATATACCACATTTTCCTTATCCTGTCATTCACTGATGGAAATTTAGGTTGGTTCCATCCATATCCATAAATAGGGCTGTGATGAACATGGGAGTGCAGGAATCCCCTCAACATGATGATTTCCATTCCTTTGGATATATACCCACAAGTGTGATTTCTGGCACTGTTTGCTGAGAGAGCCTAGAAGCCGTGACACCCCATTAGCAGTGAACATTGATCTTGGTTTCTAAATACCATTCCCCAATGAAAGGAACTAGTGCTCCCTGGGGAAGTGACTGATTCCAAGGAAGAGAGAGAGAGAGAGAGAGAGAGAGAGAGAGAGAGAGAGAGAGAGAGCGCAATCATGTCAAAGAGACACATAGCCAACCTGAAAAAGTTCTCAGTGGCTCACAACTGGGTAAGACAATAAATAAGGATTATATTGATTTTAACCCAAAGAAGAAAATTCATATTCATGATTCTGTACTGATATAAATGACTAAATAAATAACAAATGGATGAGAATGAACAAATCTTTCTTAGAGAAAAATTACAAATAAATGTAGAAGAAATTAGGAAAATGAAAAATTGCTATTAGAACACCAGAGTAATAATTGCTGTACCAAGTAATCTTCTTAAGAGTGCTAAATTCCCCAAACCAATCAGCCACCAAAAAAACCCAAAAAACAAAAAAGAATGCTAAAGTTAGTGGGTGAGTTTTTAAGGAGAAACAGGATATTTACATAGCTTCATAGTATCTTCTTTAAAAATGTATTAAATGCTGTGGTGGTTTTAACATATGTCCACAATTTTTTTTTCATTTATTTCCTTAGTTTTGTAAATTATTTTTTCTTTTCTTTCTCTTTGTGTCCATTTCTATTCTTAATATTTGAATTTCTGATTTAAGGTGGTTTTTAAACACCTCAAATGCTGGTTTGACTATGTTTCATTCTATTTAGAAAGCTGTCTGAGAGTCTTCTGCTCTATGGTTATATTTTCCAAGGGAATTTTCATTAGTTAAGGTGTATTGGATCTGGTTTTCTGATTTTTTATAATAAGTGTATAGATTTATTAATTTTTTGTGGCATTGGCATAGTTTATAAAATTTCTAGTTTTGTGGTACTCCCTTCTGTCTGAATAGCAAAATTTTGGTGGTAGTTGTAAGGATCATGTGTCCTCTGAATTTGAGCTTTTCTCTTTTTTTGTCTTGCAAAAATTTAATTATTTTATTCCATTTATTTATACCTTAACTACCCATTTGTCAGTCAGGCTGAGTTTTTGTTTGGAAGCTGTGGTGGAGAATCTGCTTCCAGGCTTGTTTAGGCTTTTGGCAGAATTCATTTCCTTGCAATTGTAGCACTGAGGTGCCTTTTTCTTGTTGGCTCAGCCAGTGACAACTGCAGCTCCTAAAGAATGCTCATTCTCTCCCACATGGCCCTCTCATCTACAAAACTAGCAATTTAAAATCTCCAAAACTCAAGTGTCGTTTCTCTTTCACTTTAATCTCTTTCTTTAGATAGATACCAGTTCTTTTTAAGAAATCATCTGATTAGGTCCATCCAGAATGACTTCCCATTCATAAGGTCAACTGTGCCATAAAACATAACCTAATCATTGCAGTGACTATCCCATCATATGTATAGGTCCCTCCCACACTCGGTTGGGGGCCACGTTGGAATTCTGCCTACCACAAACTATTTCTCTTCTGTCTTCAAGTATGCCAATCTTTTTTTTTTCTGCACAGTCTTATCAGCTGTTAATTTTCATCCCACTTATTTTTTATAAAATCTATATTGAGATATAATTCACATACCATATCCATATGTATTAGACAGAATATATGTATATTCTGTTTCTCTGGAGAAATCTATATTTATATCTATATTTCTATATCTGTGTCTATATTTATCAATCTGTCTATCAATCATCTGTCTACTGAGATTTCAAGGAATTGACTCATGCAAATTTGTGGGCTGACAAGTCCAATATCTGTGTGGCAGGTCCACTAACTGGAAACTGAGGAAGTATTTTTTCTTCTCTGGGAATTCTCAGTTTTTGGTTTTAAGGCTTCCAACAGATTGGATGAAGCCTACTCTTTAAGTAAAGGGGAATATCCTTTACTTAAAGTCAAAATAACTTGTAGATTAGTGTTTGATTAAATAACTTGGTGCTATAACCTAGCCTCATTGGCACATAAGACTAGCCATCACATCATACAATTTACATATTTAAAGAGTTAAACTCATTGGTTTTTGATATATTCACAAAGTTGTGCAACCATCACTACAGTGAATTTTAAAGCATTTTTATCCTTTCCAAGAGAAACTCCATACCCATTAGCAGTCACTCTCCATTAACCCTCTACCTATCCTTGCCAGCCCTAGGCAGTCACTAATCTACTTTATATTGTAGCATGTAGCAATACTTTATTTCTTATTTTGTCAAATAATATTGTTATGTGGATGTACTCTATTTAGTTTATTTACTCATCACTTGATGAGCATTTGGATGTCCAATTTTTGGCTATTTGAATAATGCATTCATGTGCAAGTTTGTGCATACACATGTTTTCATTTCTTTGTAAGTGGAATTTCTGAGTCATATGGTAATCCTACATTTAACCTTTTGACGAAATGCCAGACTGGTTTTCAAAGCTGTGAAAGGAGAAGCCAGTCAAAAAGACTACATATCATAAAGCTGCTGTAGAATTTTACATTCTCACCAGCAGTGTATGAGGGTTCCAGTTCTTCCTGCCCTCCCCAACACTGGTTATTCCCCAGCAT